AATCTTCGTCATGTTGCGGCGGAAGGCATACGGTAGAAAATCCCAATACGTATTGAAAACGACTGTAGGGTCCCAGCACGACTCTGCGTCTTAACCTCGGCAAGCCTTCATATTCAAAATCAAAGACTTTCAAAATAACCCGTTTTCGACATTTTCGTACTCTGCAAGCTGATTTTCGGAATCAGCTAGATAATTAAGCCCAGACAAGCGAGAAAAATTTTGGTCGACATTTTGCCCGGACGATAATAAACGAAGTATTAAAACAGTAGCTCATAATGATAAAAAATGAATAAAAAATGATTACCCCAGCTTCAGTGGCACTTCTTTCTTTCTCATGAATTCTTTCGTTAACGAGATGAACTAGCTGCGGAAGATTGTAAAATTCAGCTTCTTCGAGCACTCCTAAAGGATGTATAGAAGAATTGTAAGAAAATCAGAAAGAACTAGAAGCGTAAACGGGTCATTATCATACCTTCTTCAGCAAGACCCGGATTGATGATAAGTCGACCATGTCTCAGGTAGTTAAGAACGGGTGAAAAATAATCCGCATCACGATCAATCAAGTAAGCACCGGTTTCATCCTACAAATGATAGGAGTAGAGCAATTTTGAAAGTTTGTGGACTGTGAAATTTTGGGACCATACAAAGCAAGACATGCATCAGCTCACCTTGACACTAGGTAGTCTTTTGTCATCCTGACACAAGCGATAAAGAAAAGAGCCAGGAACCTTCATAAGTGTGTCGCGAGTTGTTTGAAAGATCTGAACGTGATTTCTGATTTTGCGATGAGCAAAAATATGTGTTAATTTTATTGTTTCTTGAACAAATTATAGAAATCCACACCTTATAATTTCAGAGTCAAAAACCAGGTATTACCTTGCCACCGACATTCAGTCGAATCCAGTTACTCGACGAATTGCCAAGATCCCTCCTATCTATGGATTGTGGCCACTGACTTGAATGCAAAGATCCATTCCCAGTCGCATCTGCATCCTCAAACACACTTCCACGCATGGATGAGACGTCATTTGACCCGTTTTGCAAGTTGTACATGCGTTTTAACTGCTCGGGAACTGAATATAGTAAAATCTTCAAATGATAGTGAGGAGAAGAACACAGAAATCTCTTCAAGCTGATTTAACTGCTAACGAGGGAATGGTCAGAAGACGAAGAGTCAATCCAAGCAAGCCGCATACCATTAGAGATACCAAATCATACAATACCATACTACTGAAGGCAGTATCCCGGCAGAATTTGTTTTCCGACTTTTAACATTTTCGGGGCCTTCTCGCCATGAGGAACCCATGTCCGGGCTTTCCCGCGCTTAAATGTCGAAAATGAG